TTTGCTGCTCCCAAGTTTTGAACCACTAACGTCCCAGCCTCTGTAAACCTTTACCAACACTCTCCCCACTACGCCACAAGAACATCACATGAATATAAATGCAACATATATTATTTATATAATATATTGACCGATATTAATAGAAAACAATATATATATATAAATAATTATTTTTATTTAATATATTTTACAAAAAAATAAAGTATTTACTAAAAAAAATAGGGGAGCACTTTTGGCGACTAAATATGAATTTTAGTCGCCAATTCTATGCTTTTTGGCTACTAAATGCTGTTTTGTCGCTAAATACATTAATTTCCGCCAAAAAAAACAATTTTCGGCGACTAAACTGATTTTTAGTCGCCAAAAGCTCCACTTTTGCCGACTAAACTCAGTTTTAGTCGCCATTTGTCCACTTTTAGCTACTAAATTTTTTTTAGTAGCCAAAAACCTTTACTTTTGGCTACAAAAAATTTGTTTGTCGGTAAAACACCTATATTCGGCGACTAAAGTATTTTTTAGTCGCCAAAACCTGTAGTTTTGGCTACTAAATGCTTTTAGTCGCCAAAAACCGTGCCTTTTAGCTACAAAAATTTTTTCAGTCGCGAAAACTCCTATATTCGGCGACTAAACTGACTTTTAGTCGCTAAAAGCCCTATATTCGGCGACTAAAGTGCTTTAGTCGGCAAAAGTGCTCACCTTTGGCGACTAAACTGATTTTAGTCGCCATTTGTACTACTTTCAGCGACGAAAATACTTATTTTAGTCGCCAATTCTGCATTTTCTTGTAGTGGTAGGTACTCCATTGTTTTAGGGATCATACTAGTGTATGTACTCCATTGTCCCAGCTTTGAATTACTACCTACGAGCAGTTCAAATGGCATGGCAGTTGTTGTTTCCTTACCTTTTTAAAATAGTAAAAAATAAAAAATGATCGACGTTAGTTTTTTTTCTCAAAGATGAGCTTTTTAGAATTATATTTGAAATCTAATTTGAAACATTGATTGCTTATCTAATTAGAAATAGGAAAAGCAAATCTGACAAGATTGTTGCCTGTTAACAATAGCACCGTATTTGCAGCCAATAAAATAAAGTTAATAGCACCATATTTGCTAATAATGGGCATTTAGTACAACAACATTTTTATGTAGCTTTTTAACTTTGTGATTGTGATATTTGCTTTTTTCTTGAACTGCAGTATCATTCAAAGTGCTGAAGTTTGTAATGTGGATTGTGAATGTATATTTGATCCAATGCCACCAATTTTTTTTTTGTTTTTGTTTTTGTTTTTTGCTGGAGGCATTCTTGAACTCTTGAGGATAAGATGTGATCATTATGGTTACCACTGCTGGCAAAGGATGCAATATCAAGATTGTCTTTCTTGGAGAAAGATGTTATTTTTGTAGTTTTTTGACAGAAAAAAAGATCCTTAGAATACATGGGGTATGTATATAATAAATATAAAATATCTATGTAGACTATTTTATTTCTAGGCTTATTTGACAATTGGTCTTGTACCTTAAGTGATGTAAGCCCAAGGGCAATTTATTAAGTATGTTCATGTAATATTCACTTTGCATACGAATGAGGGTATTGTTAATCACTTCTACGGATCGAATGTATGAGTTACTTCCGCATGCTATCCGTGAAATTGAATTAAGTTAATGAATTTGGTAATGACTTCGAGTAGTAAAAAGTGGGGCGTGACATTGACTAGGGTCAAACTTGGAAAAAACTCCTCTTTTGGGGGGTGGGGGGCAGTTTTCTCAAACTTTGTAAAATCAAATTTTAGGATTGATTTATGCAAAATCTAGCAAGTAAGGGTCAAATTCCACGAGCTGTGGGTCTCAAAACCAAGCCACAAGAAATAACAAAGTAAGGCTAAAATAAAATCTCAAAATCTTAAGTTTCAGTTCTTCAAAGACATCCTTAAAAAGAGTAATTACAACCCTATATATAAGTAGCCAAGAAGTGGACTAGTGGTAGACATACAATGCAACCACTCCATAACAAGCTAGTGACACATGATGTTCATGCAAACATTCAATGGCAAGTGACATGGTTTTGCATGTAGCCACCTATTAACATGTGTCCTACATGCAACCATCGCACTAAGAAATAGGTGACGTGCTGCTTACAAACAACCACCTCAATAACAAGCTGTATACAAGAACATAATGCACCTTCTCATTAGTTTTAAATTTGTGATACTTCTGTTGATTTCTTCTCTCAAGTTATTGTCACTACAAAAAATTAAGGTTTTAGAAACCAAAATTTAGGGACAAAATTATTTTTTAGAGACCAAATAATTTTGTTGGAAAAGTGTTGTCATTATAATTTTAGCAACAAAAATTGGACATTAGTGATGAATTATTATCCTTTTCGGATCAAATTTTTTGTCTCAAAAAATAAATCATTTTGAGACCAAATTATTTTGTCCCTAAAAGTCTATTTATTAGTGACATTTTCAAAATTTTGTCCCTAAATGCCTTATTTTTTACTTTTCGGGACGACCTTTTAGCAACTATCCTCATGAAGATGGAAATTGGTCTTTAAATGTCTTTTACAACAAAATTTTCACTTTTAGTGACCAAAACATTTAGTCTCTAAGACTTTTATATGTTGTAGTGTGCCTACCATCTTTTGATTTTGCCATAGCTGATTCCACTTGTTCAAATGTTTGTTTTGGGTTCTTATGTTTGAATTCTGAATTTTTTTAAGACCTATAGGGAACTGAATATTTGGGGCTTGCATCTTTTTTCTTTTGTTCTAAACTTGGCAAGTTGGTAAATACATAGTACTTTTAGATTAAAAAATGTCTTCTCCAAGCAAGAGCTGCGTCATCACTACCTAAGGTACTAAATTTGTATCTTTTAATTTTTAATTTTTGCAAGGTGGGTTTTTATTTTATTTTTATTCTCTCTTATGTTCTTGGGTTTGATGATGGCAAATACCTGTTAGTTTATGTGATGCTGCATAGTTTGATGTTGGATGTCCTATGAATGATGTTGCTTAGTCACATAAATTGTGTATGTGGAATCATAGAGTATGATTACTGTTGCTTTGTTGCATAAATATTAGTTTGACATGACTTGGCTGTATTGATTGCCATATTCTCATGAGATCCGTGGTTGGTCCTTAGTTAATTTACTTGTTCATGACTTATGCAATATATGATTTGGAAGGATTGCAATTCTTGATCTGGTCTTGATAGATAGCATTACCATTGCTTGATTTTGTTGGTAGTACGAGCTCGTTTGGTAAAGAATACCATTGTGGAATTGTGCACTCGCAAGGGAAGCCCTACGATTTCCATTAGGCGTGTTTTTTTCACTTGGTTTGGTAAGATATTGTTGAGTAGCTTTTGAATTACTGTCTCATTTTCTCCATTGCTTCTACAGGACCTTTTAAGCTTAATGGCGTTCCTCTTAGACATGTAAATCAATCTTATTTGATTGATACTTCGACCAAGGTGGACATCTCTGGCGTCAATGTTGAAAAGTTTTTTTTTGGAACTGGACAATGTTGAAAAGTTTGATGACAAGTATTTTGCAAAGCAAGTCGAGAAGAAGAAAAAGAAGGGAGAAGGCGAGTTCTTTGAGGCAAAGAAAGACATTTGCTTATAATCCTATACTAAAATTGTGAAAAAGGCATTAAATTTTTGTTGTTTTTTTGGACTTATTTAGTTTAAATATTTTTTTTCACTTATTTGGCTTAGATTTGTTTGTTATTACATCAAGCTGCCTTCTTTAGTTAAATTCTATGGCTTGTACTATATTTTAGAATCTTGGCAAACGGGGCCTCATAATTGTGTTGAATCTTTCAGTGCATATCTTCTGAAATGCTGTGCTTTGGACAAAATATTGATTGTAATTTTTCTCATATTTCAAAATCAAGGAGAAAAAAAAAAGTGGCATTTTTTCAAAAAACATCATTTAGAACGCCACTAAATGACGTCATGCGTTAGTTTGTGATGGAAATGGAAGCGGATGTAAAAGATTTTGCGGCATTTTAAAAAACACCGTCTAATAATTTTAATGACGGTTTTCAAACGTTATAAAGCTATTGCGGCGGTCATATCAATGACGAAAATTTTAAACATTGTTGTAATATTTTACAGTGTTTTTCAGGCTTTTAGCGACATTTTAAAAAACACCACTAAAACTCAAATTTCTTGTAGTGTTTCTAATGATAACACAAAACAAAGGGAAGGGTTATGCTATAATACACATCTTTATTTTCATGTTATGACATATACATTTCAAATAGTGTATATCATATACACTTTTGATGTGTATTTTATGATACATATTAGATATTCTGATAAATAACTAGAAATTGAGGAACATGGCAGCGGTTCATAGAGCTGTTTTTTGTGCTTGTTATTTCGATATAATCTAACTTATTAACTTACTACAACTTATCTATAGAAAAAAATACTAGAAATTGAGGATATGAATTCTGAGATGGGTTCTTGGTGGAATTTTGTAGGTTAGAGGTTTTTGATGGTGTAGAGTTTGATAAGTGGGTTGACAAGGCTATGGCACCTCCAATAGAGTCCAGTCTGAAGCTTTATGAAGAGGTTCTGAAGTTGGGATTCAAGGTTTTCTTGCTTACCGGGCGCAGTGAACAGCAAAGTGGTGTTACTGTTGCAAATTTGATCAATTCGGTCTTTCAGGATTGGGACAAGCTCATATTGAGGTTAGTTTTCAAACTATTCTTTGTCATAGATTGCTGATAGTGTTTGTTATGTTTATGATTTAACAGGATAAACTTGTTTGATGTAATGCCTTTTATTTTGCTTGATAGATCATTATAATTTTCTTATTAGCTTTGCACATCTTTCAACTATCAACTATTGCTAGTGGCTAACATTTTAGGTTCTCCAGAAAAAAAGAAAAAAAAATGTAATTTTTGTTTTATTAAGAAAAACGTGTGCACTTGGTACAACCTTTTCTTGTTAAGCAACATATGTTTAATATCAGCATTACATTCATGAAATCTTAGTTTGAATGAACAAACTCACATATCATAGAAATGTATAGAGAATCAAAGACATTCCCATAAATACCCATATAATTCAAGTGAAGAAGACAAAAGAATAAGAAGGCACTAGTCAAAACTGGGTTTTGAGAAAAGTAAGACCTGGTTCCATCAGTGCTATATGCCATTGCAGTGCACCAAAGTCCAGGGGCATCATAATCCACTCTCGATCCCAAGCAATCATAGAGCCATGCTTTAATTTTCCCATCAATGGTAGTGGAAAAAATAAACTGCAGATAAAGATAAAATAGATCACGAGTGAAACTACCAAGGGACTAAGCTCTTTGAACTTTCCTTTACCATATCAGCTAAGACGTGCCAAAAAAATCATTCTTCTGACACCAAAGAACTGATAAGGAAACGGAAAGTAGTTGGCTCTCAAGTATCAAAATTATTCACCTGAATATTCTCCTTATAATGGGGGCAGACAGAATGTACAGGAGCTTCATGGCCTTCAAATATATATTGCTTGTGTCCAGCTACAGCATCCCACACCTATTACACAGAGATACATAAGAAAACTCCACTTAAAACACCCTAAAATCTTATTACAATTATACCTTAATTGTCTTGTCATCACCACATGTGACAATACAAAGTTGCTTATTAGGATGAGCAAAGGCAATATCATTAACACCACCAACATGAGCATCAATCTGGAACAGGGGAAAAGTCATCAGGTACTTGAACATTGGTCTCATTATTAGAAAAAATTGAACATATAACAGAGCTTACTTCCAAATGTTGTCTTAATGCTCCTGCTGGATTGTAAGTGAATATCTGAACAATGTTCTTGAGAAAGCAACACCTATGAAAGAGAATATGTGAGATAAGCAATAAAACACAATTCCTAAGAAGGAATTAAAAGAAAAAGAAAAAGAAAAAAAAAAACAGCAAAAGTCTGGATCAATGACAAAAGGCCGTGGGTCTAGGGGTCCGTCCTCGTCCTCTTCCTGGACGAAGGTCCAGGAGCATCATCAACGCTGTCGTCTGAGTCCGAGTCCTAGCCATCTCCGGTCTCCTTCGACGACGACTCTGCCTCCGCCTCTGTCTCCGCCTCAGACTCGTCATCGCCTGGAACTAGCGCCCGTGAGCTACTTTCGACATGGGTGCGTCCTGCCTTGGTGCTGGGGTATACTCTCCCATCGCCTCCGGTAGGAACAGAAGGTCCAACTGGGGCACCTCCTATGGTAGGGATCTGGAAGGGATGCTGAAAAGCACAAAAAGTGAATGCATCAGTGTATTGTGAACAGAATATCAGTGCAGAATGCAGTGTATGAGTACAATATGTGAACACTGTGAATAGAGTATCAGTGCAAAATGCAGTGTGTGAGTACAATGTGTGAACAATGTGAACAGAGTATCAGTGCAGAATGCAGTGTATGAGTACAGTGTGTGAATACTGTGAACAGAATATTAGTGCAGAATGCAGTGTATGAGTACAGTGTGTGAATACTGTGAACAGAATATTAGTGCAGAATGCAGTGTATGAGTACAGTGTGTGAATGCCATGAGCAGTTTATCAGTACAGAATACAATGCATCAGATGCTGTGAGGGCAGTATGTCAGGTGTCGTTTTGTGTGTCAGAGTATGTGAAACAGTTTATATATGGCTCGAGACTGTGGTCAGAAGGACATACCGGAATGCTATAAATAGATAGAAGGTCGAGGCTCTGCTAGAGCATCCCCATCACTGAAGCGGTCAGCTCCAAGGACTGGCGAGTGTACTCAGAAGAGGCCTTCAAAAGTATTAAGAAGCATCAATATTCTGCGGAATATCAAATCAAATGAAATCAACTAACTATGCAGAATGCAATATGTAGTAGTACATACCGGAGGTAGGTCGTAGAAATCTACCAACTCGTGATCAGGCGGAGGGGGAGCAATAGGGATCTGGTAGGTCGCCTCGTCACGCCCTCTACATGTCATCACCGTGGGCAGAGCAGGCCAACCAGCCCCCCGCCCTCTCTGAACTCCACTCCTGCTGCGGACCCGAGCCTTCCTCGATGCTCCTGCCCCAGCCCCCCGCTCCTGCCCTAGCTACCGGCACCGTGGGTCTCTCTCTCTCAACTCGACGGCCACCGCTCAGAGGCCGCATAATGTAGGTCTGGATGTACTCTCTGTAGTCGCCCTCGCCCCTAAAGCCCTCCGCGTCCCAGCCGATCGTGTAATCGACCATCTCTTGGGCGGTGAACCTCTTGGTGTCCCTCATGTGGGTAGGAGGCGGACCCGGAACTATCTGCTCTGGCAAGCCCAGGGTCTGGGGTAGGAAATGCTCACCAAAGTACCAAGCCCAACAGACCGGGCCCTCCAGCAGGATTCGGAAACGTGCAGTCTCCTCTGCCCCGGCAAATCGATCTCGAATCGTCGCAGGCAATGGAGCCCAAGGCTGCCAAGTGATCTGTAAATGACATGTAGTTTGTTATCTACTGATATTGACAATACAATGTAAAGCGAAGCTTAAATGAACCGCAAGTAAAACATACCTCTGCGGGGGTAATAGTGTCAAAGTAGCGGGGGAAAAAGATGAATGTCTCCCGCGGCCTCCACACGCACCTCACATTAAAGCGACGCGAAAATGGGACAACGAGAGGGGTCTCTACGTCTGGCACTAGGGCGAGTCTCGGAAAGTAGGCGTAGACCCACAACTGCAGAGCAAATACCAGAAGGGTTATCAGATAAAGCAGAACACAGAATAAAGTAGAAATTACAGGACCGTGTACTGTGCAGTGTGTTGAGCAGAGTGTACGGTGTATGCAATGTACAGTCAGTGTAAAGCAGGGTATATGTGTGTGCCGTGTGTGCAGTATACGATCAGCATGAAACAGAAAGTACAGTGTGTGCAGTGTACAGAGTACATAAAATGTAAAGCAGAAAAAGGAAAATGTACCTTCCAAGTGCGCCAATAGCCTCCGAGCAACTGCCCACTGCCACGGGAAGCTGAGCTCATGTACCCATAGAGAGTGGCCAGAGCGGCGCCGCCCCAGTCGTAGTGTAGGATCTGCTTGACATCTACCAGTGCACTAAGCAGGCAGAGAGGCACAGTGTTCGCCCGGTCGGCGAAAATGGTAGTCCCAAACAGAAACATGAGAAAGCCGCGTGCGTATCTCTCCACAGCCTCCTGAGTCATCAGAGCCTCCACGGTCAAAGCTGGCTGGACCCTAAACTGGACCTCGAACCAGGAATATCGAACGAAGCCGGGACGCGCAAGAGGCGGCACCTCGCCGAGCAGATGGATCTGAGCAGCTGTCCACTCATCCATATCAGTATCAAAGGGGATCAGATCACCCCCTACCCCGATGCCTGTGAGCATCGAGAAATCGTAGGGAGTCATCGTCATGTCTCCCATGGCAGAAAGGTGGAACGAGTCGGTGGTGTCCCACCACCTCTCTGCTAGAGCGGCTTTCGAATATCCCATTGGTACAAGTAACAATACAGCTGAAATTTGGACTATTCAAGCTAACACCCAATGGTTAATTATTGAACCTAATTCATGGAAAACACTACACATCTTTGCAAGCAGAAAGCCAATAACTAAACAAACCAAATTTTGTTTGAACAAGTGCCTACAACTAACAGTAATTTCCGGGGCATATTTTCCTGTAGAGAAGCTAATTTTATTGTCAAGTTTGTATCTTCTTTTATTATCTGAGAGATTAGGTTCCCTTCTTAGTAAAATAGTTCCTTGTATGAACCTTTTTTTTTTTTTTTACTTCAATGTAAACTAGGCTCCCAAACACAACCAACCTGAAACAAACCTGCCCAACAAATCCTATAACTCAATATACAAAGTAGAAAGAATGCAAGCTAGATAATAACCCACTACCAACATCCATGGACACATGTCCGGATCACTGTACAACAAGGGTAAACCCGGGATCGCTATAATCATTCTCTCTACTTGCAACACTCGGAACATTCTTATTGTTCATCAGCAACCTGTACATATTGTTCCATCACAATCCTATCATTTGAAATTATTATATACATATTTCTAATAATTTAAAACCTTCATATTTGGAACAAAATCCAACTAAATAAAAGGAATAATTTTTCTAAGAAATTCTACCCCCACCCCATCAAAAAAAAAAGAAAAGAATGTAACGCCCTCAAAATAAACCAATTATATATACATCATTGACATGCAATATTAAAAGAAAACAATTCATTATCCCATTCAAACCTGCCCAACACATCCTATAATTCCAAATGACAAAATAAGGAACAACAAAAACAACAATTATACAATGACAGAATCTACGGAACAGTCCGGATACAATAATCAAATGGGAAAAGACCGGGGTCGCTATAATATCCTGGAAATGAAACAGATCAATTGTCATAATCAAAAGAAAAGGAAAAAAAAAAGATAAATTACACCTTGAACACAAAGCAGAAAGTTGGCCTCCCAGGATATCCAAATGTATTTGATAATTTAAAATCACAAAGCAGAAAGTCCTTGAACACATTCAGCATAGTGTTTATATATAACATAGGGTAAATTACACCTTTTACCCTCTTAACTTTTATTTGAATTTCACTTTTGTCCCTCACCTTTTAATTGTAACAATTAAGTCCTAGACTTCAACCCTTATTGTTTCATGTAGTCCTTCGGTCACTCATCATCAGTGAAAAGATGGACAAAAAGTGCTCATGTAACGCCATGCAAACGTGTTTTAAGGGTACTAAAGGAAAAATTAAAAAAAAAATTACGCTTTTCACCCGTTAACTTTCACTAAAATTTTAAATGGTGGGGTGACAAGAGGACTAAATTGAAGCTTGGGTTGAAATCTAAAGACTTAATTGTTGCAATTAAAATGTGAGGAGATACTAAAGTGAAATTCGAATAAAAGTTGAAGGGTGACAAATGTACTACTCTATAACATATCCGAAGGAATGATTTCTAGTCTATTATTGTTCACATCAAATATAACCAAACACCCTACATTCATATTTTAAGCTAAATCAATACTTTTTTCTTCCTTTTTTTTTTTTTGTATTTCATATTTTTTACAAATATATATATATATATATATATTTTAATCTTTCAACCAAACACCCTACATTAAAATTTTAACCAAACAACCTACATTTATATTTTAACCAAAAAGCTTACAAATATTTTAAGTTAAATCAGTACATTTATATTTGTTTCACAAATGCTCATCAAATATAAGAAATTTTCAACCTCTTACAATTTCACAATAATAGAATCAAGTCAGTAAAAAAAAAAACTTACCAGAAACAGGATGAGATAGAGAGCCCAAACCAAAGGGAGAAAGCCAACAGCAAAGATAGCATAGCAAAAAGCATAGAGAGAGAGAGAGAGAGAGAAAGCAAAGAGAAAGAAAAAGAAACTTACCAAATTGCCGAGCGGTGAGGCGATCTAAGAGGAGGGTAGGGCTAGCGGTGGCGGTGGCGGTGGCGGTGGGTGATGATCGGTACAACTAGCGGCGATGGCGGCAATTGGCAACTCTAACAGCGATAGAGGGGGCGGTGGTCGGCAAGGTGAGGAGCTGCGAGTGGGAGACAGAGAGTTGAATGCGATGTTTTGGGGGTGTGAATAGTTGGGGATGTTTCGGCGATTGGCTAAAACACCATTGTCCCATATTTAAACAAAATAAAAAGACCAAAACAAATTCACATCTCCATAGACCAAACTTTTTTTGCTGTTCTATCCCTCAAATACAATTCTTGTAAAAAAAAAAAATAAAATAGACCTGCAGTCTCCTTTTCTTTCCCTCATTGCATATTTTCTCAGCAACACAATGTCCCAAACACAACATAACATACTTATGTGACTAACCTACAAAAACAGTGCTTCTATATCTTCCAATTAAGCTTATGATCAAGAAACATAAATACCGCTTATAAATCTACTAATTAAAGCTAAGAATTAACTACAAAATAGAACTAGAGAAAGAAGACAACAGCATAATCAACAGCAAATGAATCCAACAGAATTCATGCCCATGCTTCTTTAGAATTTTATGACTCTAGCAGGACTTAATCCGCAACAGAATTAAGGGATAGACAATCAAAATTGACACTATGCACTATTTCACCTGAAATCTAAATAGTTGTAACTTGTAATAGAAATATGGTGTGCCAGCAAAAATATAACATGGAAAATTGAAAGCATTTAGAGTTTATTCACTACTTAATGTTTGTGGTAAATTAAGTTTAGCATCTAAAAATTTGAAAATACAAATTTATCCAAAACTAAAAAATAAAAAATTGAAAATAAAAAAGCTCCAGTTTTTCGTGCATCCATGAGACAAGGCATAGTACTATAATAATAACTCCAACCGCAACTCAACTCGAGCAGGCACTTCTAAACTAGAGTTGTGCTAGGGTTAGAAACGAGCACCTCAATGTAGGCTTGAAATGAATGCCTTAAACAGTTTTTCCATCTTGATGTTTAAAATTGTTAATCAAGTAGGCAAGGCAGTGAATCCATATGGATAAATTTGAAATGGATTGTAAACCTAAATGTTCTTTATTATGTTGCTACTACAGAAAACACTTACGGTCATGGAGACTTGCCCAAAATCACATTTGGCAACAGAAAGAACTAGCAGATTCATCATATGCTAGGGGGTTACAAGCCCCACTCCAAAAATCAAGCTTGTTCTTTTAAATCACTCAAAAATTTAGTCCAGTGCCTTTTCCTTCCGGAAAGTTTTTTTAAAAAATAAAAATAAAAAAGCTTACATAATATTTCCTTCTGGACAAAATATCACAATGATAACAAAATATACCTCGGGTATGCAGGCCACATCGTCAATTCTTGTGATCAGCTAAGCAAAGATCCCCAGAACCTTCAAGAAAATCAGTGGTCCAGTGCCTTTTCCTTCCGGAAAAATTTTTTAAAAAATAAAAATAAAAAAGCTTACATAATATTTCCTTCTGGACAAAATATCACAATGATAACAAAATATACCTCGGGTATGCAGGCCACATCGTCAATTCTTGTGATCAGCTAAGCAAAGATCCCCAGAACCTTCAAGAAAATCAGTGGCCCATACTGACATTCCAGAAATACAAACTAAAAGTAAACATTATGAATGTCTTCCATGCTAGTTTTGGAAAACACTAAAGCACAAGATGTTAGAAAAGCAGACTAATTAAGTGCATAAAATTTCTCTGTAATTTCAAATATTGAGGATAAAACATAGAAAATAAAAACAAAAAGAGTTAAATATATATAACTTAATTGCCCATGTTTGTTTGCAGGAGGTGGTTTATGCAAGAGAAAACTGACACTTCATAACCAAAGTAAACAAACAGTTATTAATGATTTGTTAAAAAGTAAACAAATAGTTATTAATACCAAAAATGAGCTAAAATAAGAAGTAAGAAAAAAATTCCCCCTTCATGAAGACTTGCTCAAAATCACAATCAGCAGCATGTATCACAATCAACAAGAGCCTACCAATTAGCGTAAATCTAGCCCATGTTGCCATGCCTATAAAACTCAACTAATAAATAAACTGAAATTCATTTGACAGGTGTAAATTGAAGTTTTATTTATTTATTTATTGCTAGGCCAAAAAGGATGAAAAATAGGACTAAAAGTATGTACACATAGTGAAAATTTTAAAAACTATCCCATAACAACTTAAAATTTAAAATTAACTAACTAAGAACAAAATATATAACATATTTCATAGAAACCCATTCTTATGTCATAGATTTGTAACAAAACCAAACCCAAAGAATAAAATTTGAACCACAAAGAAATTCATATTTCAGTCAAAGAATTTTCACAAGCAAAACTTGAGCTTTTCGAATACAAAATTTCACCCTTTATGCGCCAAGATAAGTTTTCATTTTTTAAGGCTAATTGAAGTAATTGAGAAAATCTGTGCAAAAGAAAAAAAAAAAACAGCAATACTTGATTTGGGATAAACTCACAATGCCCGAGCATTGATGCAAGTTGTTTCGAGGCCAGTTATCATCTTGCAACTCCTGGTCCTGAAAGGGCATTGAAGGAAGAACAAGTGGACCCCCCACATCATCCAACTGACCCTGGTTCTGATCTCCACTCTGCTGCACATCTTGCACCACCAATGCTGGAGAGTTTGGAGAGGGTGATGAAGTTCCATCCAGTTCCCAGTCAACCGAAGCATAAACTTGCCTTTCCACATATGATTGTATCAATTGGTCTAGGCTCTCACGGAAATCACTTCGAAGAAGATTAGAGACTCTTCTCCTACAACATGAACAAAACCTCCTATAAAAGTCATCATTACAAAGTACCAAAATGCCTAATGCCTTCAATAATCAGATCCAAACCTGCTTAAAAGTTCTCTAATTTCTGAACTGTACACATTATCATCATCTGGAAAATAAAATGTATCAAATTGCCCAGCAGAACGCCTTTCTAATAAATTATCCATAGCCTCCTGCAGACCACTGTCAAGCCATCTCACATCTTCTTCACCTTTACTTCCCAATGCCATAGAGCAATGAAGAGAAGAGAAGAGAAGAGAAGAGAAGAGAGGTCCAAATCAAAAACAGAGAGAGAGAGGTCCAAATCTCATAGAGAAATGAAGAGAAGAGAAGAGAAGAGAATAGAAGAGAAGAGAAGAATACCTTCGAATCGATGATTCGATCGCTGCTCGCCGCCATTGTTGCCGATCGCCGATCGTCGCTAGCCACCACTATCGCCGCTCGTCGTCGCCTTTGTGAGAGAGAGAGAGAGAGAGAGAGAGAGACAGTGTTGTTTCGAAAGTTAGGGCTCCGAAACTTGGGCTCTACAAACTTGAAAGGAAATGAAAAAAAATAGGGGGAAAGACGGGGTAAAAACAGAGGGGAAATTGAGGTTTTGTTAGGTTTAGATTTTCGGAATATTTTTAATATTCTTAATATTTAGTTTTTTAAATATTTTTAATATTTTAATTTTCTAAATATTTTAAATATTTTTAATGTTTATACAGGCCTAAAAAATTAATTGACAAAAAAATTAATTGACAGAAAATAATTGACATAGAAGTTGTTTGAAAAAAAAAAGATTTGAAAAAAAAAATATTCAAAAAAATTACTTAAAAACAATTAATTGAAAAAAAAACATTTTTTTAGTTGAGTATTTTAAAAATAGTTTGGTTATGACTGTTGATCAAAAATACGGATATCGAGTTATGAGTTATGTGTTTGATTATCAATTATATGTTGAATTAAGTTTTGAAAACTATTTTGAAAACTCATCACCAAACAAATTTTTTTGTTTCACATGCCTCATCAAACTTTCAAAACTCAATTCCACATATAATTCAAAACTCAATTCAACACTCTATTAAAAAACCATAACCAAACAAATTTTTTGTAATAGAGGAAAGGGAGCGACAGTAGTGGTGAAAGTGATGGATAAGAGGTGGTGGTAGCGGTGGTGATGGCGAAGGAGATTAGTGATGAAGTTGTGGTAGTGGTATGGGAGATGGAGTGGCGGCGGTGAATGAGAGGTAATAGTAGTAGTAGTAGTAGTAGTAGTAGTAGTGGTAGTGGAGTGGTGGCAATGGTAGTCGTAGAGGTGAAGTGGCGACAATGGAAGTAGTGGTGGTGGTGGAATGGCATTTGCAGTAGTAGTGAAGGTGGTAGAGGAGATGGGTGGTGAGAGAGAGATGAATAAGAGACAGATAAAGGAAAGAGAGAGAGAGAGAGAGAAAGAGAGATAGAGTGATGAGGGAGAGAGAGACAAAGTGGTCGCTAAAAGTGCATTTTCTTGTAGTGGATCGATAAATCGAGAGGGAGCTCAGTAAATAGAGAAGACGGGAGGGAGAGAGTGAGCAACGCAAACATAGTGGGAGAGAGAGGGGGAGAAAAAGAGAAAGAGAAAGAGATAGAGATAGAGGGTGAGAGATAGAAAAGAGACAGAGAGAAGAGAGATGGACGAGAGAGATAGAGAGAAGAGAGATGAACGAGAGAGACAATGAGAAAGATAGAGAGATAGAAAGAAAGATAGAGAGATGAGCAAGAGAGATAGAGAAAGATGAGAGATGAGAGAGATAGAGAGAAGAGAGATGGGCGAGAGAGATAAAGAGAAGAGAGATGAACGAAAAAGACAGAGAGAGAAAAGAGATGAGAGAAGAGATAGATGAGTGAGAGACACAGAGAGAGAGAGAGAGAAATAGAAAGAGAAGAGTGATGAGTAAGAGAGAGAGAGAGGAAGAGAAGAGAGAGATGGAAATGAAAAAATGGATGAAAAGATAAAGACAAAGAGAGAGAGAGAGAGAGAGAGAGAGAGAGAAAAAGAGCGAAAAGAGATAAACAAGAGAGAGTCAGAGAGAGATGAGCGAGAGAGATAAAGAGAAGAGAGCGAGAGAAGAGAGATGAGAGAGATAAAGAGAAGAAAGATGGACGAGAGACATAGAGAGAAAGAGAGACAGATAGACAGACAGACAGACAGACAGAGAAGAGTGATGAGTGAGAAAGAGAAAGAGAAGAGAGACAGAGACATAGAGAGACAAAGAAGAGTGATGAGTAAGAGAGAGAGAGAAGAGAGATAGAAAGATGAAAAAATTGGTGAAAAGAGAAATGGTCAAAAGAGTAAGACGACGTCATTTTTATTTTTTTTTTGTAACAGAAAAATACCGTTGCATTTATTTAAACCATTTTATGACTATATATATATGAAGCCGTCTCAAAGCCACAATATATATATATTTTTTAAACTTTTTTAATTGCTTTATTCTTTCCTTCTTTATCTGCTATTCCATAATGGAAGATGATTTTCATTCTCCCCCTGTTTTTAACCTTTCTGCATTGGGAATCAATTAGCCACATGCAGAGTTTTATCCCAAAGAATTCCTAAAGTAGAAAATTTATCTATCGATTCACAAACCCAATAGTGAAACTAAATAAAAAATCTGACCTAATATTAAATGGAATAATGTGTAGACAATTTAAACCTTTAATTTACAACGCAGTACAATCTCCAACATCTGCTACCCCCTCCCCCCCCCCCCCCAAAAAAAAAAAAAACAAAAAACCACAGCCATATGAAGGAAAGTGTCTCCATAATTGTTGGTTATGGAGGTGATTGACTGAGATGCTGAAATTAGAATCTCTACCACAGGCAAGTATCCCCTGTATGCAGCCACATTTAATGCCGTGCTCCGTTGATTATCCGTCGAGGCAATAGATATGTGATATTGGTTATGATCAAAGTGATGTGGTTATGAGCAAAAGGGTGTTGATTATGAGATATGTAATGTTGGTTATGAGTCAAAGGGGGATTGGTTATAAGATGTGGTTATGAGTTATATGGGTAGTAGTTATGAGATATGTGATTAACGTTATGAGATATGTGATATTGGTTATGATCAAAGTGGTGTGATTATGAGCTAAAGGATATTGGTTATGAGATGTAGTTATGAGATATGTGATTGTAGTTATGAAATATATGATATTGGTTATCAACAAAATGGTGCTGGTTATGAGATGTGGTTATGAGATATGTGATGTTAATTATGATCAAAGTGGTGTGACTATGAGCCAAAGGGTGTTATGAGATATGTGATTAGTAGTTATGAGTAAAGTGGTGTGGTTATGAGCCAAAGAATGTTGGTTATGAGATATGTGATTAGTGGTTATAAGTAAAGTGGTATGCTTATGAGCCAAAGAGTATTGATTATGAGATATATGACTAATGGTTATGAGATATGTGATGTTAATTATGATCAAAGTGGTGTGACACTACAAAAAAAATTGTTTTTTACGACGGCAAAACGCCGTCGCAAATACTCTCGCACACCGTCTCAAAAGCTATTTGTGACGGTAATTTTTCTTTTTGCGACGGCAAGTGGGGGTCGCAACAAAGGGGGTTGCAAAAGAGCTTTAGCGATGGCAACTGCCGTCGCCATTGTATTTGCGACGGGAAATTTTCTTTTTTGCGACGGCAATTTTCTATCGCCAATAATGGATGAAAATCTGGATTTTTTTGCGACGGCACAAGCTTTCCGTCGCTAAAATAGGTTTGTACGACGGCAAAAATCCCGTCGCTAAAAAATGTCGTCGCTTTTGACTATTGTCGACGGCAACCTGAGCCGTCGCTAATGACTATTGGCGATGACAATTATATCGTCGCTAAAGCCTTGTTTTTCAATAAATTCCATACCTTTTGCGACAGTATGGCTGCCGTCGCAAAAAGCCTGGCACTTTTTTTTTTTTTGCGACGGGGTGTGCTGCCGTCTCAAAAAAAATTATAAAAAAAAACCCTGTTTTATAATTATTAAAAATATAAAAATAACCTGTAATGTTGGCAAATGATATAATAATATAAATACATAAATAAAATAACTAATGTTGGCAAATGATGTAATGGCAAATGTTGGCAAATGAAAAATAACTACAAAAAAATCCAAAAATTACATAATAATATAAATACATACATAAACAAAAGTTGGCAAATGATGAAAATACATAATGTTGGTCACATGATACATACATAATGTTGTTCACAAATTTAAATAACATAAATCAAAATCAAAATCAAAACCAAAAGTTTTCGTCTTGATTCTTTTGTGGGTTACAAAAATAGAAGTTGGTAATAATCTTTACTTGCCCACATTCCACACGAAGCAAACTGCTACTCAGGAAATATCTGAAAAAAACAAAATAAAAATAATTAATAACAATATAATGGTGTTAATATTTTAATTACAGAAAATATAACAAATTAACTACTATATAATTAGAAAGATAGTTTAGTAAATAATTTTGACTAGACCGAAATCCGACTCTAACTCCCAAACCGGGAACCCAATTCGAGCCCCGTCTTCTTCCACAAGTCTCTCGTGCCTAGGAGGTCGTGTGTGCCAAGTTTCGTGCTAAACCGACGCCGATTGGTGAATTTGGGGCATTAACACCTCGAATTTAAGTTTCTTAAGGAACTAGTTTGCCTAAAGTGAAATCCGGCTCTAACTCCCAAACCGGGAACCCGATTCGAGCCTCGTCTTCTCCGACAAGTCTCTCGTGCCTAGGAGGTCGTGTGTGCCAAGTTTCATGCTAAACTGACACCGTTTGGTGAATTTGGGGCATTAACTCATCGAATTCAAGTTTCTTAAGGAACTAGTTTGCCTAAAGTGAAATCCGGCTCTAACTCC